GGCTGTGCAGGCTCAGCCTTTCTCCGAGATGCCTGGCTCAGGGGTGGGGGAGGGAATGCTGCTGGAAGGGGAGGGGAAAGGGAGAGGGATGGGTGAGGGGCTCAGCAGCCTGGGAATCATCTGATTTTTGGCAGATTTTTCCACGAATCTTTTCGGCAGCTTGCACTGGTTGGTGCTGCCGTCCCTGGGAAAGCTCCGAGAGGGGATGCTGCCCTGGGACACCTCAGCAGCACGGCTGGCTGGAGGAGGGGTTGCTGCACTCAATAATGTCTCTCAGCAATAAAAAAAAAATCTCATTTCTCCCAGCCAGTTCCCCTAACTGAGCTAAGCACATTCCTCCCTGCGAGGAAAGGGAAAGTGTCCTGTTTTCATTGTGCACAATTGTGTCAGCACAGACACCCCCAGCAGCTGGAGGGGAAGAATTCTGCTAATTTTTGATCACTTTTGGAAGGATTCTTGCTGTGTTCTGCCCTGTCAGCAATAACATCACCATTGCATTGTGGGCAGAGAATTCACGACATTAATGGGGAAAAATCAAAGAGAAAGGCAGGATGCACAGAGCGATTTTTGTTTACCACCAAAATACCAAAACGTGAGGAAACAGCAGCCACCTGACAGGCTAGAGGAATACATCAAATATTCCCTCTCCTTAAACTGAGGGATGAGAGCGGGCAGCAGAACTCCTGAGCTCCTGGCTCAAGGGGCAGTGCCGAGGTCCTGTGGGTTATCCGTGCTGCCAAGAGCAGGATTTTTACATCCCCCCTGGCAGGCTGAACTCAAAAGCACACTGCTGACATCATGTGGAAGCACTGCTCCAGCACTGCCTCCCTGGAGCCCCACACTCCTCCCAAAATCTATTTATAAACACTCCCTCAATGACACGCGGCGGAATTGGGGGATAAACACCAACTCTTGTGTTCTTCTCCTCTGTCGGGCAAAGCAACCTTAATTTTCAGGTACGGAGAGAATTATTGGTGCCGCGGAGCGTAAAAATTGCCCTGAGAAACGCCGGGGAACCGTCCTGCCTGCTGAGAGGCTGTCAGTGGCAATCTGTCCTTGGCAAACGAGCTCCTCACTCCCACGCCAGCGGGAGGGAAGCACTGGGGAACGGCCGGGCAGGGGAAGGACGGGGAAAAATCAGAGCTGGGGCTTCCAGTGGCCTTGGGAGAGCCTGAAGCGAAGAGCTGCAGCTCGCCACGTGCAGCCCTGCCCTCGGATCTGCTCCAGAAGAGATGAGCTGGAGCTCAGCACCATTCCCAGAGCGAGCTCCACTTGTTCAGTAACTCAGTTCTTGCTCTTCTGAGTAGTTTCTGCTTCTCTGGGGGGAAAGGGAGCGGCTTCCCTTTACTACAGAGCTCTCCATGCTGGATCAGCTCCCTCACTGGTGTGGTTTGTCTTCAAAAGCCCTTTTATTTGGCTGCATTTTCTCTCCTATATCCATGAAAACAGCAGAAAACTGCTTCACGTTGATTCCTGAGGTTTCACCCTCCAGCCCAGCCCTTTTCCATCAGAACTGAGCGGATTTTGGTGAGGAGAACAGGCAGAGGGGGCATCTTGGCAATGAAATTCCTCACCTGGCAGGGTGGGGCTCCAGGGGCACGTTCTGCTGGCCCTCGTACTGCTGCACCAGGGCCCGCACGCTCCAGTAGGGATTCTCAATCTCCTCGTCCATGCTGCTGTTCCTGGGGGTGACAATCACAAAATGAGGGGAGCCTCACCTGAGTGCCACTGGAATTCTTCTCCCTCCAAAAATGAGGGGAGGAGAGCTGAGGAAAAAGAGGTGAGGAAGAGGAGACAGCCAGAAAAATGTCATTTTTCCTATCAGGGATCCCCATTTTCTTGGTGTTAAGGGAAAACAGGCAAACAGGCCCTGTTGCTTTAAACTCATCCCTAATTCTGTGACTGCAAAACTCCAAAAGCTCTGGGGATGCAAGGAAACATCACAAGGACTGGCTTTCCTGAAGAACTCCAAGGCCTTTGCAAGGGAAAGCTTTAACATTTCGTTTTTCAACGCGAGTTACCATTTCAGCCTCCTCTCCAGACTGCTCCGTGGGGGCTCCCTCCAGCCAGGACCAAATGGGCAACGACCTTCAGCCGTGTCAGTGAAACCCTGCAGGGCCCCAGCACCTGGCTCCCAGCTAAATGTCACTGCTATTATTGCTACTGTCACCTTTGGCAAGAGGCAAATGGGATTTTCAGGATTATTCCCCATGTGTGTGGATTTTCAGAATTATTCCCTGTGTGTGTGTGGATTTTCAGAATTATTCCCCGTGTGTGTGTGTATTTTCAGAATCATTCCTTCTGTGTGGATTTTCAAAATTATTCCGTGTGTGTATTTTTAGAATTATTCCCTGTGTGTGTGTATTTTCACAATTATTCTCTTTGTGTGTGTATTTTCAGAATTATTCCCTGTGTGTGTGTATTTTCAGAATTATTTCCTTTGTGTGTGGATTTTCAGAATTATGCCCTCTGTGTGTGTGAATTTTCAGAATTATTCCCTGTGTGTGTGGATTTTCACAATTATTCCCCATGTGTGTGTGTATTTTTACAATTATTCCCTCTGTGTGTATTTTCACAATTACTCCCTGTGTGTCTGTATTTTCAGAATCATTCCCTTTGTGCCTGTATTTTCAGAATTATTCCCTCTGTGTGTGTATTTTCACGATTATTCCCTGTGTGTGTCTATTTTCAGAATTATTCCATGTGTGTGGATTTTCAGCATCCCCAGGACTCTGCAGCCACCTGGAGCAGTGGGATGAGGCAAAAAGCCTGGGAAAGAGCTGGAGAAGAATGTAAATAATTCTTTATCTGTTTTTCACACTGTTTATAGTTAAGTTCTATCACTGTGCATCAAGCACTGTGCACCAATGCTGCGAGTTGTTTTCACTTCAGGACCAATGGATTTGGTCATCACCAATGGAATTGATCCTCACGAAGCTCTGTATAAAAGAGCAGTGTACTTTAAATAAATCACAATTTTACTCTCACAACCTGCTTATCTAATCAGAGTCCCTTCACTCCCATCCTACCTCAACAGCAACCAGAAGGAATAAATCCCTTCCTCCCGCCAGCAATAAATCGAACAAAGGCGCATTTATTTTCATTTTTTTTTCAAATTGGGAGCCAACCCGGGCTGGCACAAGCAGGGAAGAGCCCCTCACCTCTGTCGGTGCCTGAGCAGGTCCCGGCCGGACTGCTGCACGTCCTGCCGGACCTCGGCCAGCGCGGCCGCTGCCCCTTGGGCCACGGCGGCGGCCGAGCGCGGCCGGAGGCTGCCCGGGGCTGCTGCCCGGCTCCTGCCCCCCGAGCCCGGCGTGCCAGCTCTGCCCGAGCCCGGCTTGAAGTGCGCAGCCAAGGCCAGGATCAGCCTCATGGTGGATTTCAGGTTGCCCTCGACGATATCTGCAAAACGCGAATGTTTGGGTGGTTAGCGGGGAGCGCCCGCAGAGCTGTGGCTGCCCAGCAAGGTGGAGATAATTAAAAGCCAGCGGGGATGTTCCAGCCCAGAAAAGTGCCTGCCACCTCACAGCACAGCCCCGAGCCTCCCTTCGTGGCCATTTCCAGCATTAATTACTGAGCACGTAATTACTGATGGCTCATTCCGAAGCAGAGCAGTTACTGAGGGCTGACACCGACTTTGTTAGCAGAGAATTCCCTTTTTTAAAACACAAAAAGCAGGACAGCAATGCATTTCTCCAGTGGTGTGCCATCAGCTGCTTGCAGCACCCTGCAAATATAAATTAATCATATGCAGTGATATCGCACTGAATTTTCCAGCACACTGATGTCATGGCAAAGATCAGCCACTCTTCCAGACCAAGATTTCCCAAAACAATTTAGTCAGAGCTGCTCAAAGCCCTGACTAAACCACGCCACAGACATCTGATTGTGCCTTGTGTCTCCTCTCTGTTTCCAGCCCATGGCTTCCAGTGAACCACAAATATTTTTTCCATGTCTCCTCTCACCCTAGCAGGTTTATGTGTCCTTTTGGTGAAAGATTCCAAGCCTGTATTTTTCATTACACCACTACTTGGGCCTCTCAGTACTCAGCAGCAGGAAAAAAAGTCACTTTTTTTCCCTCTGCATTGTCCACCTTTCAACCCAAAACCTTCTCTAAACAAGAGGGGGCAAAACTCCCAACTCCTCCAGAAAATGGCAGATTAATTTACTCATAAATTACCTGTTTGATAGAAAACAAAGGCAGAAACAGGATTTCAGCAGCTAAAATCCCCCCCAGGGCCACGCACCTTTAGCTGACGTCTGGTGCATGCGGATCTTTCTCGATGCCACGAACTGTAGGACTTTCTCCACGTTCTCCCTCATCTCCTGCTGGCTGCTGGGGTTGAGCTCGATGCCACTGAGCTTCTCACCAGCTGGAGGGAGTGAAAAAGCTTCATCAGAGGGAGCTGAACCTCTGGGCACTGCCAGGGGATCGCTGGCGCTGCTCTGATCTCGTGGCTG